CAGCTGGTGATCACCTGTTCCAATACCGATCCAATTGCTGATTTGGGTTCTCTAATATTCGTGAATAGATCATGGCAAGGCGGCCCCACTCCTGCTGCATGTACTCATATTCTATGTACTTATCCCAAAGAGTAAATGATAGGTAATCTGTTCCAACATAAGCAAGTCCTCGCTCAAACAACCTGAAATGCCATTAACATGCAGTATTGTGGTGAGATGAGTACAAACATAAATACAGCTGAGGTAAACACATCCATGAAAGGGAGACACCGGCACAATTCATTCTAACACCATATGACACTTCTGAACGCTGCATTTACCTTCCTGAATAAAACCATACTATGTCCGTCAAATGGAGCAGTGATAGAGGCCATCTAAGCCCTTAACTGGACGAGATCTTCCCAGCAGCCAATTGCATAATGATGCACTTCAGAGTGTCAAAGTTAAATAGAGCCATAATTCATTGACTTCTAAATTACTAAGATGCAGGTCTTCATGGTACGGTAGAACATATATTTGAGGTCAAAAACTGGAATTAGATCGTTTAAAACAAAAAACAAAAAGCTACACTCATACTGTAGCCTCAAAAGCAAGGGATTGCACATCAGAAAAGCATTTCAAAAGTGCATTCCCATCAAACCTTTCTGGAAATACATGTGAGGAATCACTGTTGCAATCATACTGAAATGACCTTAGAAAGCAAGAACACCAGTATGTTGCAACTGAGAAACCATGCGACCATGAACTACCAAAGCAAAGACCAGCACCAACAATGCATAAATGAAGATCTATTACCTTCTGACAGTGTCTGGATCTCCATATGTGTTTATAGCAAAAATGCAGTAATGCAACCAGATATCAACTGAATAGGTAACACCTTGAACTGCTCGTTCATAGACCTCCACAACTTTATCGATAGAACCTAGACGTGCCTCATGATCTGCATACTTTTTCCAATAACCATAACACAAAGGAAACTCTGCTAAAAATGCATCATAAACTTTCCGAATTTTCAATATGTTATCCTGCATATAAACGTAAAGCAATTTGTTAGTTCAAAAAGAATTTCTACGTAAATGCATGAATCATATTCAAATAGTCAGTAGATAGATTCCAACAGCAAGAGTTGTGGCAAACACCAATTTGATTGCAAACACCAAGTAAAGATTTCACTTATAAGAACAACAATATGATTGAGTTACCACAAAATTTATCACATATTACCATTTCCATAATATAAAGGGGCAGACTGAGTTACTAACTTACTAGTTTGGAAATCCTCCTTTCCTCACTATCTCACTACTATTATTACCACTACATTTATTTCATTTTCCAATTGGTACTACTATCAATTTATTTTCTTGGTAAGAAAAATTAGTACTAAAACTTACCCTCTATCTTCTAAGGCCATTTATTGACTAAAGGTTAGATACCATCTGTCATGCCGCATAAAATAAAAAAATAAGATCTAAGATTACACAGATAAATTGCAGCTATTTCAAAAGATTGTTAATTTCATATTTACCCACTAATGCAAAACCATGGGAACACCGTAGTATGCTAAGGCAGCTGACAATCACAGAAATATCTAAGAACATGTACAACGGTACAAGGTACAGTGAAATTCACAGTTTTGCAACCTCATATGATTCATATTTAAATAACAACAATTTCTCCGCCAAAACCTTATCTTTTTCAACTTCAGATGATTCACACTCACCCAAAAGATTCATCTAATGACTAAAAAATCAGCAAACGTACCTCTGCAACCCTCTCTGTCTCTTCAATTAAAGCAGTCCAGGAATTGAAATCCAAGGAATTAGCCCTCACAATATTCCACAGTCTATCTTCTTCGACAGACATGGCTGCACCAAAAGAAAGGAAATAAATAAATATAAGAAAACACATAAACTGCTACATGAAGTAAATCCAGACGCATAATCTACAAGGAATAACAAAATCGCAAACATGTGAAGATTTGTAGATACAACTACAAACTCCCTATCGAAATCCCAAAATTTAATATCCCTGTGTTTTGAAAAATGGTAGATTCGTTAAAGGAAAATAATGAACAAAACAACCAATCTGTTCCTGAGGGTACAGTTACTATCCGACGACACCGATACTGTCCCCACTTGGCCACTTGCTTAATCCGTCAGGTGTGGAGTTTTTATCACAAAAGGCCTCGGTGTTAGTTAGAGTGGGGGTAATTCTATTTAAAGGGCTTGTTCTCAAGCCTTATGGCCGATGTGGGACAGAGGAATTCTAACACAAGCATCATAATGTATTTACTGTAACCTTAAAGCATATGATGACATGTTCAGAATTTTATCCGTAAATAGTACTCTCTATTGGCTTACTGACAACTTACGGATTTACCAGAAATAAGACATTATCAATTCACACACCAAACGATAGGATTACCACACGTTTAAATCCCACTACCATGACAGCAACAAGATAACTTGGACATTGTTAGAAACTTCTCCGGATGTGCTTACATGATGAGTGCATATCTTTTACTAAACTAATCCTTAATAATATCCAATTCAGACAAGAACATGAGGTTTGTCTAACAAACTACTATTACATCATCACAAGCTAACTTTGAGATCAATATCACTGAAAGGTATAGGTTTCACGTGGCTAAATAAAAGTCAATTAATCTCACCCAGATAACATGCAAGAAAACATACCAGAAGCATCCCCAAATTGTTGCGGATCAAGAGGTTTAGCATTATCTGAAGCATCTCCATTATCAACTGATGAAACAGTTCCCACTCCAGAAGCAATAACACCATTCATAGAAGAATCATAACTAGCAACTTGAGATGACTCCAAGACTTCATTTTCATTACTAGCAACATTCCCACTAGCATCTGTCACTCCAACAGCCGGTTTGGTCTCATATGTTGTGTAACTTTGTGATTCTTGCATGAGAGAATTGAGATCCGCAGAATATGCATTTCCATCGCCTATGCTAGAACCACCAGGCGTGGTAGAAAACTCTGGGGTAGCCTCAGAATGCAACACACCCGTATCAGGAGCAATATTTAAGCTGGCATCAGCATATCCTGCTGATGTATACCCCATCACATCAGATGTTTGAGCAACAACTGTCTCACTGTCTGCCATACCTGACAATCAAATTATTGCCTTACTGCCGTACCAACTGCGAGAATATAAGCAATGAACTTATAAACACTACAACCATTCGAGAGGAGTGAGACAGTGTCCCACTTACAATTAGGTATGCAATCCAATACTGTAATTAAGAACTAACCACTTTAAAAGGTAGAGTAAAATGTTCTCTACTTTTTTTTTTGGCAAAACTGTAACCTCTGGGTGCTACTAGAGCTGTTATCATGGAACAGTAGGAAAAAAGTTAGGTATAAGCCTCTAAAAACAGGTCAGACACAGATGGACATTGACTAACGTTCTCAAGCATCCATCACACATATCTTCAATTAATAAAATAGTTCTTAAAAACACGTTTTAACATGCGTTAGTAAAGAAACTGATTAATTTCTAAATTCATAATATGTAGTGTATAAATGTACTTAGGATCAAACTCATAAAACGGAATTACGACAACTAATTAACCATCAAAACTACAGCTTGGGCACTATTTGACAGAGCAACTGTGTAAAACCCTTCAAGATAAATGCATTCAAATCATCCCAGACACCACTAACGAATGAATAAAAACGCAGGTTCGATAAAATTCTGATATGTTTTCAACTATTCATTACATCTGGGTGTAATTCCTACCTGTTTAATTTCAATGTCAAAATTCCAAATTTTCAAAAAAAGTCTAAAAAAAAATTGCATCTAAATTTCTACATATTGCACTTCCAATCTGAATACTAACAAAACAAAACAGAAGGGAAAACAACTCTCATTGAAAATTAAATAATACGTAGTCTAATATGTAGTCAAATTAAAGCAACAAAGAACAACCTAACCAGGAATAGGCCTAGGGTTTGGTACGATAAGATAAACGCTAACTGAAAAGCATAACAGTAAGAAACGGAAACGAAAGGCATTGGAAGTAGAAGAGGTACCTGAGGGAAAGATACGGCGGCGTTTCGAAGAGAGTTCTGGAACTGGAGCTTCGAGGAAGATGGAGAGAGAGAGAGAGAGGGAGAGTTTTATTTATTTTAAAGCCCTTTCAGTAAACGGCAATTTTGGTGGTAAAACGAGAAGCAGCGGAAAAAAAAAAAAACCTTGGAAGGCGTGGTAGGCGCAGCGTAGGGCATGTTTGCTCTCTTTATATTTTAATTTTCTTTCTTTATTTGTTTCTTTTTTTTAAATGACGTGGAGCTCTTTTTGGAAGTTGATTTTGGATTTGGGCTATCCAAGTTTTGTGGATATTAGGTTTGGGCTTTCTGTGCATGACTAGCCCAATTGAACAAATGGACGACAAAATAAGGGTCGTTAGGATTTGTTTAAACACTTACGCTGATATGAGTTTTTGCTAGAAGTGTTTTAACTAGAAACATGATGAAATCTTTATTTTTTCTAACGTCCTTTTTTCTGTTCTGAAACGAGCATTCCTCTTTGACGCCCTTCCTTAAATGGTCTCGAACATGTCTTACATTTCTCTTGTTCAATTTAATTGGATATGATAGACATGGATATATTCAAATTGGCTATAGCTTATTTTGTAGTTAATATAACTCGCTTGTTTAATTTTGAGGGTTAAAATCTAAAATCTAAGCGAGAAACTTACATCAATCAACCTACAATAATATAATTAGTACCAGAATAAAAGACAAGACATTAACATTCAAATACAAGTGATTCGAAGGTTTTTTTTTTTTAAATATTCAATTACTGGTATTAGGACACTTGATGCACCGGAACGTGTTTCCGGCAAATTGAAAAATTTCTTCAATGTAAAAGTTGAATGAGTAACTCTGCAGCCAATAACAAAAGCGAGCAACGACACGTCGTTTGCATAAGTAAAATCGTCCACCACATCAACCAAACCACGCCCTCTTTCAGCCAGTTCTCCACTCCCAGTCTCCCATACCGAACTCTTATCTCTCTCCCTCTCCAATGGCGGCCCAAGCTCGAAAAGGCGGAATCTCCCTCCCCGAACGGAGGAACCCTAAGAAGGAAGACGACGGCGTGATCGCGAAGCTCTCGCAGTCCCAAATTGTCGTCCGGGGCAAGCAGGCCGCAAACGACGCCGCATTTGTCACGAAGAAGCTCATAAAGAGCACCGGAAAGGCCGCCTGGATCGCCGGCACCTCTTTCCTCATATTGGTGGTGCCGTTGATCATAGCCATGGACCGCGAGCAGCAACTGAACGAGCTCGAGCTCCAGCAGGCCAACATCCTCGGCGCTGCGCCGCCCCAGAAGTAAGTCGAGCCGGGTCGGGTCGAGTCTGAGACATCGGTACCTTTCCTCCTTTTCTTTTGACCTTTCTGTATCTCTAGGGTTCGAGATTGGTGAATCTGTTTTGGGGGAGGGGGTTTTCTGTGATGATTCCGTAATTTCTTAGGGTTTAGTAAAATTCGATTTGGGATAACAATAATCTTTAGGGGTGGTGTTTTGATTTTGAGGTATTGAAAGTAGATTGAATTATTGAAACTTCCGGCGGTGCGTTTGTATGAATCTTATTTGAGAATAACAAGTTTTAGAGCCGAATTTGTTTTCAGATTAGTAAATTTTGTGCTGCTTGATTCAGTATTGAGAGTTGATAATATTGATATTTGAAGTGGATTTACATGTGCCTTGTTCTATGTGCTCTGCTTTGTTCAATTCATAGCTTTTCGAACAATTTTGATGTGCAATGAGTTGGGAAACTCAATGAAAATTCAGTTGTCATGCTTGCAAAGTTTGAGTTTTCTTCGACATATGTTGTTCCTTGAGCGATGAGCTTTATGCCTAACTAAAGATCACGGTTTTGGCTTCGTGTTTTGGTGTAAACTTCCATATGGCAAGCGTCTTGGTGGGGTGGGGCTTCTAGTTTTATGGCAGCATTTTAGTGATAGAACTTTTGTTTGAGATGAGTATGGTAGGGGGTGAGGCATAATTAATCAGCGTTCTCTCTTTATGTAAAGATGTTTGCGGAGCGGGATTTTTTAGTTATTTGATGGCATGAGGCTCAATGAAACTCAGCATTAAATTGGCTCCATTTAGGGGGGGTGTCATTTGCATTGGCACGGTCAACAAATCTAGGGTGTCTTTCATAGTGCAATACAGATGAGTGATATCCTTTTCTAGCACCAAGAACTTTTCTTTACTGTGTATCTGAACTGTACAATGCATGATCTAAGTGTACGTATTTTCACCAAATCCTTTCTGGGATTGGTCGAGGGGTCTTTCATTTGACTTGATTCAAGTACATGGTATGGTAAATGCCTGTTATCCATAGATGATGGATCGGTGACTGGTTTGGCTGAGGTGATTGTTCATCACTCTATTAGAATGTTCAGTTTAGTGCACAGACTTTTGATTTAGATATTCCTTTATCTGGCTACTCGGTTGTGAACATTGTGTCATAGCCATTGCGCTATGCGTTTTGACCCTTATACTAGTCCATTGGTGATATGTTGGTTATGCACAATTTTATTGTACAAGCTACCTCCCCTTTCATTTCAACCCCTTTGATCAATGGTTGGCGTGTGTATTTGTGTTAGCTGGCCACGCTTGCTATTTTGAATGATGACATGATGAGGGATGTCACAAGAAGTGACTGGTTACGCATTACATGGTTTTGGTTTTTCAGTTTGGAAAAAGAATTATATGTGGTGAGATATGGTGTGGTAGTTGTATTGAAGATTGTGAATTTAGAACTTAAACCAACAATGTACAGTTTACTGATTGCATAGCTTAATGCCTGCCGACTCGTTGGAATGATAGAGCTGGGACTAAATGGCTAGAGTGTGGTAGAACTATGTCCTAAGGCCTTGTTTGGTTGGGGGGATTGGATTGGAACGGAATAAATGACCATCTAAGTTCAAGGAATTTCGAAGGTGGAGCAGAATGATATTAGGGTTAGAGGATCAGACATGAGGATAAGACATGAAGATAAACTTCTTCCTTCTAATGCTTCCATGGATGACTTTTTTTCTCGAGTAATCCTTCTTCTACCGCCAAGTTGACCACAAATTTATCATTTCTTCTTTTAATATACCTTGAAAATCGTGACTTATCAATTCCTGATCGAATCTTCTATGTCAAATGAATCCTCAAGTGTTCTCCCTTTGGGAATAGATCAGTGATTTACCGATGATTATTTTTTCAATCAGATGAATGATCTTGTGTAAAAGTTCTTCTTTTGTTAGGTGTCGGTTATGGTTCAACTAAAATCAAGGGGAGAAGATTTTCACACCATTTTTTTTTGTTTGCACGCTTATGTTTATTTATGTTTCTTGATTCTTTTGACTAATTCAACCCGAAATTAATGGTGTTTAGAGGGAGAAAAATGGTGTGAAAACTAGCTTCCAAACCAAATAAAACTCATCATCATGAGAAACCAAAAAGCATGAATCGAGCTTGTAATTTTCTTTTTGTTAATTGGATTTGTAAGTTTGTAACTAGTCATTCGTATGAAGAAGCTGCTGGCCCGGCCAACTTGCGTGGCAAAAACATCAAACGTTGGTGAAGTTGAGGATGTGATTGTGGCGCTTATCCCAAAGCGCATTCGACACTTGCATATATAGTAATTTTCACACATGACAATGACATTGTGTGACTCGCTTAAGATAATTGTTACAATCCAACTTATCAAATAATTCTCAGATAATAATTTAATTTTATGATTTTGTTTTTAAGGAAAGTTAATGAAAAAGGCTTGAAAACTTTGAATTTTAATGATAAGGACAAAATAAAGAGTAAAGTGAATAGTACCAGAATTGACTTTTTAGTGTAAAAATATGATTTTTCGTTAAAGTGAACAGTACTGTAGACTTTTCATTAAAATTCTTTTTTTTTTAAAGATTGCTTGCCTGTTTATTTGATTATGATGAAATATTGAGTGCATTTTCACTCCCTATCATCAAGTGGTGGTAATGCTCACCACCCTATTTCTTACCATTAGATAAGTTTGAATTTTGAGATTTGTGTCTACCTATTACACGAATTTTAAAATTCAAAATAAATAAAATGGTGAGTATACACCATTGGTTATGGTGATGAGCAAAAATACTTCCTGAAATATTTGAAGGAGGTTCAAGTTTGTAATTTTCGATGCATAAAGCTTGATTCATTCAGAACATTCATTCTTACATCTGAAGACTGAAGTTACTTGTTACTCTTGAGTCTTGATTACTTACTTTCAACCTTGATACCAACAAAGAGAGGACAAGTAAAAAGAACATATGTCCCATCTCATTGCTTAGTCTAGAAGTATATAACGGAAATGGATCCTCTCCGGATCTTTTTCACTAAGTTCATCAAATCTATCCATCAGGGTTTTTAAAATTTGATTAACCGATTATAAACAGAGAGACCCGTTAAAAGTTATAATAATTTTGGCTGTTGGTTCAAATTTCTAGAGTCCAGATGGGTGAACTTGGTGAAAGAGATCCGAGAGTATCCTTTTACGTATATAACCGTCTACATAATTGAAAACGAGCAAACGTCCAATCACAAAATGCCAACTAAGCATGCAAAAACACTGCTAAATTACTACAATGCCATGAAGTACTTTGCAACAATGTTCACGATCAGAATTAATGCATAAAATAAGCTTCAGCTGATTGGAAAAAAAAAAAAGGCATGTAGCACTAGCACTTGTTAAATGGGTCCCAAATCTTGCATGATTAGGCAACTAGCTAGAGATTAAAGATATAGAACTCATTTGAAAATATTGAAAATTTATTATTAATATAAAACTTAAAGATGTAAATACTGTTTATATGCTTAAAAAATATGGTTTTAAATTCTAAAGTACTTTATTAAAACTATTTTCATGTTGAGAAACTTATAATCCTCATCGTTAAAGGACTACAGATTTTTTTTTTTTTTTTAATTTTTTTTTTTAAAAACTAATGATTTTTTGAATTTTAATAATTTTTTTTTTTTTCTCCCTGTGATTTTGGGCGCAAGCGTTTTGTAAAGGAAAATACTTACCTCCTCGTTCGGAAAGAGCTATTTTATTTCGCGTACGACTCATAATTTTCTTCGCGTAAGGAGCTAATCAATTTCCGCTTTTAAATGTCATCAAGCAAAAGAGCCAAATGGCAAAAATAGAAAAAAGAAGGAAAGTGGATCATGCCAACTTCTTTATCACAATGATTGATTCAAAACACGTAAAATATTCAAACAAAATAAGAGAGAGCGAAATCAAAAGCCAAAAAGCATATCTTCAACCAAGAAAAATAATTTGAGGATCCCTATAGATCTGCATAAAACAAACAAAATCCCAACCAAAGTTAGCAAGCTAGCTTTTCTTTTCTATCATATCAAAAGTTGATGAACCCTAACACACAAGAAATTTTAAAGAAAAATTTTCAATACTGATCATTTTAATGAAAATTTACATTTTTAAATTAAAAAATCAATCCTGATACTATTTATTTTACCATTTAATTTTTTCATTATCGTTAAAACAAATATTTTTCAAATATTTTTCATTAATTTTCCTAAAACTCAATGAGCATCCATCTCAGCGGTAGGGCCACACAAAGAGCAGACTTTGATTTTCTGGCTCTGCTGCTGACCCATCCCATAAAAAGCGTTTCAATCTTCGAACCCATCTCATGTCCTCGGTAATCTGCACTAAATTAATTAAACTTTTTTTCTCTAATATAATAGTAATAGCTGTACAAAACGCTTACTTGTCTTAATTAAAAAAGCACTAATTTAATCTTCAGCGGTAATCTCCATGCTTCCCACCATGTTTCTTCATAGACTTCATGAGTTGCTTGACAAACATCAAACAAACAACTAAAAACCCAAAAGCCGCTATCCCTCCCACTGCAATTGCCACTGTCCTCTGTGTATGGTGCCTAGACCCTGCAAGTTCATACACCAATTAAGCATTCGTTTCAAATCACTTTACTTCATAAGCGCTGTTAATAGAAGTGATTTTATCAAACGCACGTCGAAACAGACACTAAATGTAAAAGAAAAGGAAACTGAAGGAGTCTGTCTAAAACACCATACAACTGTCTCTCTCTCTCTCAGCTATCGTCATACCAATTTATTACCATCTTCAAAGGAAATTAAATAATTCAAAGAGATCCCACATCATATTTTGTCTTGCATCTCCAACAGAAATTAAATAATTCAAAGAGAAATTAAATAAAAAATTTAAGAACCCCACATAAAAACCAAAGTGTGTCAGCCAAAAACAACTTGGAATTAAATGCTCAAAACAAATATCAACACAAAGCGTATAAACCCTTCCAGAGAATGACCCAAAAAAAATTCAAACGGCAGTGATTTTCACACACCATTTTTATTTTCGGTTATTTTTTTGTTTTTGCCCTCGATTCTCTTTAATTTGTTCAATCCTACGGTTAAATAAAAATAGAAAAACGCAGAGGAAAATAAGCAGTGCGGAAATCATTTTTCAAAATTTATACTTCAAAGATAAAGAAAGTTTTTTTTTTTGGTCTTAGACATTACCTGATGAAGATGAAGAAGAAGTTATGCCTGTCACACCATTGGGGTAAAATTTGTAGCTAATATAGCACTTCTGCAGATAAATCTGCGCAGAAATTGCACCATTGCAGTCACTTTTAGCCTTCTGATCAGCACTTTGCACACAATCCCCACAATCCTCACTTCCCAAATCCCCCTCACACTGCCCCAAAATATACAGTGACTGATAAGTCCCAATATAAAACCCAGCGCTCCCATTTTTCACCCCATTTTCCACCATCCCAAAAGCTGTATCCCTCTTGTCCGCAAACCCAGCACTCACCCCACTTGCCTGATCTTTCCCACAATTTTAAACAGAAACTCTGTCCCTGGAACCTGTTTATACCCAGCAACCTCATACCTCAGGTAACACCCACCCAGCTGGACTCTAGCTGCTACGACTTCCCCACAGAGTTTCTTGGCCAAAGGTGGAATCTTTTTCACACAGAGGCTTGCAGTCGGATGTGCTGAGGTCTCCCCTGCATTGGTACACCCCCAAGATTGCGTTTTGGCCGTCGCCAAAGGTGGTGGAAAAGTAAGTCTTTTGCGACGACTGAGAAACCAGAGACTCAAACAGAGATTTGAGGTTTTGTTTATAAATTCCATTTGGGTCTTGGAAGTTTTGGTTTGCACAGCCTCTGTAGATCAAGTTTGTGAGATCAGCAGAAATGGTGGACAAAGGAAAGGAGGCGAAGAGGGTGACGAAAAACAGAGAAGAGAAGATGGAAGGGGAGGGCTTGGAAGTGTGAAGAACCATCTTTGGGTTGTGGGACATGAAATTTGTTCACACCATGGAAGGTTTAACAAGGGGTTTGGAGTTTCGTTGGCGAGGTGCTCTCCGAGATTTCTAGAGATTTGGATTTAGTTGAAAAACAAGGAGCTTGGCTTTTTTTGGAGGGGGTGCTTTTTGGGCCGGCTTTGTGTTTTTGTAGCTTTGCTAGCTTTTATTGCCCTTTTGGGCACAAAGGTTGTACGCTCCTTTGATTTAAACACACTAGAGAGGCATAGAGTTCAACGTATTGGGTACCTTGATTTTGATTTTAGGGCCATAATGGAGCTAAAGTTTGATACCCCTCTTTAGTATGCATAGAGTAAGAGTTAACTTATTTAGGCACGTGTCTTTTGTATTTGTAGCCATTTTGGCCGTGTTTGATCATCTATTTCTTTATAAACACAAAAGGTGTCCGAAGTTGTCCGAAAAAAATTAAATTTTAGAGAATACGAAGACATGTTTTGTCGTTAACATTGTTTGGTTAACCTCGGTAACCTTAGTTTTTAATAACTCCTTTGCTCGTATGAGTATCTCGCTTCTGCCCTCTTGTACCGTGAAACCAAATCCAAATCTAACTCAGTTTGGTCCCATAATTACTTTGATATGCCTCATTAATTTGATGTGTTTGAGATCATATCGTTGTTAGCAAAACTAAATTAAGCTGTTTATTGAATTCAAGTTACAGAATATTTATTCAAGTCAAATTACAAATTTCGTTTGGGTTCATTATCTGATTTGATTCTTTTGCTGCAAAACCTGGACTTTGGAGTACACTGATTGGATCATTTTTGACCCCGTGCTTTTGCATATATATATTGGTTTGACATTCTGACTGCAATTAAGAACGCGTACATTTTTCAATATTTGATAAGCTGTACTCGCATGCCATGCATAGTGTGTGTGTGTGCAGCACAGCAGTGGCCTGATAGTTTGCAGCACAGCAGTGGCCTGAAAGAAGATCGTGTCGACATGGGAATTAGAGTTTTAGTCTCTAAAGTGATTGTGTGAGCAACAAGATTGTTGTTGCCTCTACCCTTTTGCTTCACCAATTGAGATATAACACGCTTCTATATATAAAGCATAGACATAAAATTTAAGTTTTCCTTCAACTTTTCTGTATATTTAGCAGATTGAGTGCTTAATTAATCCAACCACAATTTGCCAAATTTCAACGTGAATATAGCAAAACTTAGAGTGAATAGTGTTTTCTAGTGTGCGTTGAATGGTAATTTGGGGTTTTCGAAGTTTGTTTGTGACCTAAGATACATTTTCGGACAGGAAAGGATGTGACGAAATAAACTGTTACCTTGCCACTGCATAAGATGGATTTTAGGCATTTAAGGTTGTTTAAACTTTAGCGGTTCAAATCATATTTTAATATTTTGAGTATTTTTATTCTCTATATGTATAAAAAGAGCACCTCAATTTGATAAATCATTCGAAATACCTAAGATTGTCTTTCTCTAATTAAGAACTAGCAATTGTACATATGCTATGTATGTGCTTATTAAAATTTTGAAAATAAAATTTCCAAAAAGAAAAATGAAATTGATAGGCATGTTAAAGAAGACATTGTGAGAATACGCGCAACACACGCAAAAAAAAAAAAAAAAGACAGGCTGCAGCGGCAAGGTGGCACTCTAATCCGTTTGAAGGTTTTAACACACGAAGAAACTCATATGAAGAAAGTCGACAGGCTTCCCAGAAGAAGCAAAAGAGGAAATATTCAGAAGCATCAATGCATGGTTAATGATCGTACCCTTTAGCATTGTACAGATCGATTAATGATTCACTAAAGCTTACATCCTTTGCTTAGTCAACAAGAAACAGATTTTTGAGATTTTTTGTTTCCTTTTCTCCTTACTCTTTTTAGGGATTACTAGCATATCCATGATTATGAACACAATCCGTCGCTGCTTTGACTAAAAGTTTGAGAAAATGCATCCTTGATACCATACAACGAGGGTTATATCAGTTTTCTTTTTAGCTCTTTATGCACATCACGTAATTAGAGAGATAGAAAAACTCATTTACGCTATTTGCCTTTTGCTGACCAAATATTTGAGTTATAAAAGAGTGACAAGTACATCTCACCATAAACCTTTTCTTTGTCTCAAAAAACTGATCTAGTAATTAACAAGAGACGATGTTACTAGCACTATAATTTAATAATAATATTTTTTCTTGTATGCCTCAAGTTTGACTTCCATGATCCACAAATAGTGAATTCGATAGTTAATTATCAGGTATAAACTTTGAAGCATTAATCTTTATCTCAACCTGATTCCTTCAAATTTTCTATTTTTCCTTTTCTTGTTATCTCCGCCATGTTAAGTCATATTTTCTTTTTTTAAATCCCAACTCACCATGAATTCTTTGATTTTTTTTTCTCATTTTCTTCCAATGATTAATGATATTTGTTTTTGGTACTATAACAATTGTTGTTGTTTGTTATTGTTAACTTGTTGCTGAATGTATTGATCTCACTTGATTTTTTTGCCCTCTAGTTGCAGAGCCTGTTGGTGGTTTTTTTGGAGGCTTGACGTTTTCCCTTCAATCAAAGATGGAAATATGGTATGACACCTCTCAATTTTAATTATTATATGCGCTTCTGTATTTATCAAAAAATCGAAAGATTTAGTAACGTTGGACTCTCAAGTGTCGACATTTGGCGAAAGCCATAAATTTCCTGTTAAGCTGCTATGTTTTGTTGTATGATGGCATGTTATTTCACAGAAATATAACTGTTATTCTCAAGGACAACCTTTATTAGCAATCTCCTCGGATCCAGATGAGTCTTCTTCTGATGAAGACATGGATGATAAATCTGATAACGGGTTCCTACAGCTACAAGAGGCAAATAACATCTGCCTTGCAGCTTACGGAGAGGTTATGACAATGGCTATCAACGCAAAAGCTTGCAAGATGAGCCTTCCACCACTCGGTTCAATCGAGGATATCCAACAAATGTTCAAGATCACTCCACCTTCACCCGGAATGAAAGTTGAATCTCCGCTGAGCGTGCCATTCTTCTTTTTTCTCCAAGGTTTTTGATAACTACTATGGTTGATGCGGTGAGATTTCCTAAGCTTGCCATGTCATTTAAGTTATGTTTGAGATTGCTTATAGAAAGACTGAAAACGCTCGATAAATCCGACAAAAGAAAAAAAACTAAGTACTTTCTTTTTCATCACCTTCATATCCATGCTTATGTTGTCGGTTGTCTCCTTCCCTCACCTTCATATCCATGCTTATGCTTATGTTGTCGGTTGTCTCCTTCAAACAAACTCTTCCTATCTGATTATTTTCTTATATAAAAGAGGATATAAAGTGCAAGGGTTATGACCATTCTGTACCATGCAATGCAGGTTATATGGATTGAATATGTTGAAGTAAAAGATTGCAAAGTTGACGACGACGATGACATTCAGTCAGGAACAATGAATTCACACCTAGCATTCAACGCTAAGCACTGGGTTAATATTTTGTCATCGATTTGCAGGAGAAGATGTGCCAACCGTAAAATTTCTTTTATATCCTTGTTTTTTTTATTTATTTATTTATTATTTATTTATTTTAAGAGGATTAATTGGTGGTTTCGCCACGGCAGTCTATCATTCTAGGGCAGAAAGACTTATAGAGGCATTTCAGGCTCCCGTGACCACCATCACGCTATTCCCCAACACCAGAAATCGATCCCAAGACGTGTCGTGTGAAGTATGGGTGTGGAATTCGTCTTTAACCATCAAGTCACCTCCGTCTTTTATATTTCATCATGGTAATATATAGACTTCCATAAACTCGGCTTTAATATCTAAACATGGCATTACTAATTGGCCACAAATGGAATTTTGTGCGTTATTTTTAGAATTTGATGTTGTAGCACTCAATTGTTTTAGCGAGCAAACAAATTACAAGTAAAAGTATTTTTTATTTATCACTAAAGTCTAGACCTTTGTACAATTGTTGTTTTTTCTTTTGTTCGAGAGATTGTTATGCCTGATAAGATGATATTTTCTAAAGTACTCTAATTTAAATTGAATGACATTCAAATTTGACTGCAAATAGAGTAGGCACACAACCTTAGGTTATTGGTCTAACCCACAACGTTGATATGTTGATATAAAAGATCACCTGAATGCAATCATCAACAAAACTCCCGTTCGGAAAAGACTATTCTTTCTAATTAGAGATAAAATGTTTGATTTAGTTAGTAGTTAGTTACCTTCTAATCTGTTTTATTATGTGTGAATCTACCATCTAAGAAATTGATGTATACAAAAAATAAGTATTACTCTTGTAGCACGGAATAAATTTAAATCTTATTAATTTTCTAATCTAATAAATTTATCGTCTAACAAAATTAAAAGAAATTTAGAATTTTACCATTCAGGGGCATGATAGCACAGCTGCCACAACACATAAACTAAGTTATCAAATTCTGAACAAAATATTTCAGACGTTCGTGTACTCGCCCCCAGGACATGACAAGTGTTCACGCAGTTACACGTCCACTGAGAGTGAATAGTGGGTAAGCGACAGAGTGAATAGTGGATAAAATCGGATCAAATTTCAAAAACCCTAATTCTAAACACTCTCACTCCCCCCAATTTCTTCAGAAATGCTGGTAAGCTCGCTACCCGTATTTCAAATTTTTGGTTTTCAAAAACAATTTCGATCCTTGAAACCTCTCCGTTTTCCAATTTCGCGTTTCTTTTTGGGGGTTTTCCGAAGCATTTTTCTGCTCTGTACAGTACTTTCCGGAAACCTTTTCAAGTTCTGGGTTCTGGGTTTTCATTCGCTATTTCTGGGTACATTGATTGAAGCTTGCTTGCGCTTTTGGTTTTAGGAGTATATTTGTGGAAATTCTGTTTGATTACTGAGAAAATGTAGGTCAAAGAAAATATCTTGTGGTTTCTTACACTTGTTGTTTTTGGGTGATTTTCAGGTGTTGGTAGACTGAATCAAGCTCCAAAGCGGTTTTCTTGGTAAGATTTTTGTTATTATTAGTGCTGTACTTTGCATGCATGTAGATTTTGTTGCTTCAGGTTCTGTTTTTGTGAGCTCTCGCGTTCTCTCTCTCCCCCCGTATGGGAGAGAGAGGAGGGAGAGTTTTCTGTGTTCATTCTATAGATACCTGAACTAATGTTAGTCTTTTGGCCCTTTTGATGGATGTGTATGTACGATTCGGTTTCATATTGACTTCCTCTGGTGCTTTTCTAGTAGAAACATAATATTGTTTTCGAATTTCCAAATTGGGGCTCTTTAGTTTATGCTGGAAGGGTGCGAAGTGAAAGATGAAATTAGCATATATACAACTAGGAACTATCAGTTAAATCTGTTATCATCTGTATGGATTTTGAAAGACTGTTGCTTGTGTAGTGTTTTAAAGATATTGGAACATCTGATTGTTGTTGAGTGTCACGGTGAAACCTCTAATACTTTTATGTCGATTGCATTTTTGGTTTCAAGGGTTCATGGTGGTAGCCTTTCTATTGTGTAATGAACTAGCATATCTATTTTTTAAACTCCTATTTGGGCATCATTTCTCATTTTTGTTGGAAAATGTAGGTACATTTTGCATTGGGAAGCTCACAGTTGAAATAAGTGGTGAGCGGACAGTGATGGCGCCGAATCCAAGAGTGAGCGCAGCCTTTAAAGCAATGGCAGAGCTTGGTATTAATGAAAAACAGGTCAAACCAGTGTTGAAAAATCTCTTAAGATTATTTGACAGAAACTGGGAGCTGATTGAAGAAGAAAATTATAGAGTTCTTCTAGATGCTATATTTGACGCGGAGGATACTCAGGTGTATTTCTTTTCTCTTTGGTCAGGCATTCTTTATTCCATTTCCATTCTCTTTATCTGTTTGCCCTCTCTCTGTCTCTCTATTTATGTCTTTTTGATTTTGATTTATTCTGTTAGGGGGTGGAAGAGAAGGAGGAGAAGAAGAAAAGCAAGAACTATGATGTATGTAATTTGAATTATGTTGGTTCTGTCGCTCCATTTCTTGTTTTTCTCAACCTTGTGGCTATAGTTTCTGACATATCTGTTGCTGCATTTCCTGACATATTATGTCCTGTTACCTATCAGGAGGAAGATATGGAAGAAGAGCCTCAGCTGCGTCGTGAACCTGCTCGTCCCTCGAAAAGAATACATTCAAGTGGTGATGAGGGTTCATCACAGAAGAAGAAATCTACAAATGCTGATGTATGTACACCTAACTCCCTTGCTTGTGTTTCACACATTCTCACCCTTTTACCTATATCTGCTAACTTACCTTTTGGTCTATTATATTCTAGCCAGAGGATAATATGGGGGAAGCATTGACACAGCCTCATCAACCTGAACGCCCCCTGAAAAGGTTGCGAAAAACTCATGGGGGTCTACTTTCACCATCCCCAAGTACCTGCAACTCTATGTTGCCACGGGATATTACACGGTCACCTGACTCAAGGGCTGAATTGCAGCAACCAGTTTCACCCCATCTGGGTAACAAATATAAGGGCAAGCAACCAGTTGTGTCTAATCCCTTGGCACAGCGTGGAAAGCGAAGTACTGAGTCAGGCATCATTTTTTTGCCGAAACAGAGGGTTGATTCTCATCAATTAATGAAGCCTAAAGATGAGCCCTTCACTGATGACATGGCACAAGATGAGGTTCCTATAGCAGTCATCCTTCCAGGTACTTTGTTCGCCTTATAGTATGCTGTCATTGATATCTCACGTGATGGATAGTTGGACCCAGGAACCAAAATAAACCACTTTAACCATGAATTAAATATATCTATGAATGCCAATTTTAACATAAAAAATAATACATTGTGGAATAAACTTTTTTGGGTATTATAACACTGGCATAAACTTTTATGGGTAATTATTATTACCTTCAATGATCTTTTTGTACAATAATTTTTGTTTTGGTCTTTTGCAGATCCCTCAAGTAAAGAAAACCCTCCAATCCAAAATGGTGCAACTCGGGAACAAAATAATCAAGAACCTGTGGCAGCCCAGGAGAGAGAAAGTACAAGAAGTGATATCATAGCTTCAAGTAATGAAAGGAATACGAACTTTGAGTTTGCAACCGTTGAAGAGGAATCTTCTAACTTAGAAGTTGCGTCTTCACCCCTGGGAGAGGTAAAGCTTTCATTCAGTTGCAACTCAGCTGTTGGACGACCAGATTTTCATATGCCTAAGCTAGATGCCGTCGTAAAATTGACGGAGGAAAAATATCTGCATTCATACAAAATCATTGACCCAAACTTTTCTCTAAAGAATCTGTTGGGGCACATGTGTGAGAGCTTCTTGGAACTGGGAACTAATTCCAATGGTGAATCACAGGATGGATCTATAAGTGTATCACCAAATCTTGATGCATTGAAAAAAACTACTGCTTGCGATTCTGTGCATGGAACTAAGGAATCTTTGAATGGGCCTGTTAGTATTGAATGCCCTACTGCCGTTACTGCTTCTCAAGTTCCAAGACTACCCTTGTCTTTGAATGGTGTTGGTGAATCCAGACAAGCAGGTGAGAGAGCTGATTCTAATGGTTTTGCTGAGGTTGATAAGGAAGGTGAACTGGAAGACTCTCGTGGTCTGGTTGTTGTACAACATTGTGATCTACCTTCTGATGATTTAAGGAGTTATCATGACATAAATGACATAACCAAAGGAGAAGAAAGAGTCAAAATACCATGGGTAAATGAAAAAAACAATGAATATCCACCATCCTTCTTCTATATCTCCCAGAGCCTTGTTTTCCAAGATGCTGCTATTAACTTCCGCCTTTCTGGTATTGGGGACGCAAATTGCTGCCCAACTTGCTTTGGTGATTGCCTATTGGCGTCTGTACCTTGTGTTTGTGCATCTCAGACTGAGGGGGATTTTGCTTACACGCGAGAAGGCCTTCTAAACGATGATTTCTTGGAAGAGTGTATCTCTATGACTCGCAACCCTCAACAACACCGTCCTTTCTATTGTAAAAGCTGCCCACTTGAAAGAGTCAAGAATGATGATTGTTTAGAAACATGCAAGGGCCACTTAAGGAGGCAATTTATTAAAGAATGCTGGAGCAAGTGTGGCTGCCATAGACAGTGTGGAAATCGAGTAGTCCAGAGAGGCTTAAATTGCAAGTTGCAGGTTAGAATCTATTCAGAATGCTCTTTCTGATTATTGTTAGTTGATGGAGTGGGGTATTTGTTTTCTTATTGATGTAAATCTTGTGCATAAATTGTTCATGGGTTTTAGTGGTTATATTCTCGAAAGATAACATGTCAATACAAGGTTTTTGTCTATAATACTTTTTGTAACACTTTGTTTGATTTGCGCTGTATTCCAGGTATTTTTCACTTCTGAAGGAAAAGGATGGGGTCTCCAAACCTTGGAGGACCTGCCGAAAGGTGCCTTTGTGTGCGAGTACGTTGGAGAGGTTTTAACCAGCAAAGAGTTACATGAGAGGAACATTAAAAGCTCCAGAAGTGGCAAGCGTCCCTATCCAGTGCTACTGGATGCAAATTGGGCTTCCAAAGCAGATTTGAGGGATGAAGAAGCTCTCTGTTTGGATGCTACAAACTATGGAAATGTTGCCAGGTTTATTAATCACAGGTAATGCCACTTCGTTGTTTGCCTGTACTTTTGGTTTAGTCATGACCTCCATTCATGTGATACTTTATGCTTCTTTTACTAACATATTTACTACTGTGGGATCTCTTTTGCATATTATGCTAGATGTCTGGATGCAAACTTGGCTGAAATCCCAGTTGAAGTGGAGACCCCAGATCATTGCTATTATCATGTATGGAACCTTTGATCCTTCGTTTGCATAATTATAGCTATCTACTTTGTTGTACACATAATTCTTCAAGGTACCAAGTATAAATATTGTTATGTCGTCTTGTGCAGCTTGCCTTCTTCACAACAAGAAAAGTAAATGCCTTGGAAGAGCTTACTTGGGTGAGAAATTTTATCTTATAAGTTTTAGCATAATCTGAATGAATTTTTTATTAATCATTTTAAACACGAATGAATCATCAATGAAAGAGTTATTTATTTATTATTTATTTTATTCTGTGGGTAGTTAAAATGCTGAAACTCTTAGGCGGCTTTGGAAGTTTATTTCTTGGTTTAGTCTTGTATTTATAGAGCCAAGTCTTACCATGATCTTTTATCAAGATAAAACCCACTGTAATTCCATTTCAATCAAATGTTTTCATTTTAAATTTCACCAAATTGATGAGTTGTAAAAGTTTTTTTCTGATTTTGGTTTCATAACTAATTTTGGTAATGGTGCTCGATTGGTTATGGGAATATGTACGTTAAATGCCATATCTACAAGTGATCTTCATTACTACTTTTTATAGTTCAATTGACTTCACGAAGCCAGTTCTACTTCTTAGAAGTTGTACGGTGAATTGATTTTCGGTAGAACCATTTATCTATTGATTGTGAAAGGCCTCATTCTCATTGAAATAAAAATGCATAAAGGAGAACGGTTGATTGATATGGTTTAGTGAAACATACCTGATGCGCGAGTACCTACTTTGAACTTACCACCACACAACAGATTGATGTATCCAAATATGGTCTGCTGACTTGAGCTTATCCCGAAGACAACACTTAGCTTCATCCTTTAAAAATGTTCAAGCACAAAATGATACCTTAGTACGTCCAGATCAATTTCCTATTTAGGCTGCATTACGTGATACTATTGTATAATTTTGGTGACGGCCCTGGATATAGATATAGTATTGTATAAATGACTCTTTGGATTTATGTGCCCCTCTTAACTGCACTATTCGGGATGCTTTTGCAGGATTATGGCATTGACTTCGACGACCATGATCATCCTGTTAAGGTGTTCCAGTGCCTATGTGGCAGCAAATTCTGCAGGAACATGAAACGTTCAAATAGTAAGTGTATTTTCCATTTGTGCCCCTTGCACCAAAGATGCACATCCCTTGTTTGTCTGCGATGATCATTTTCTAGCCCAACTTATCTCAATACATGGTTGATATTTATTAGTCCGAGTTCAAAGTTTCATCCGATTTCATCAATAACTGGGGCACTCTTTGATTGTTCTTGTAATCACATGTTGCTTCTGATGCTAACCTTTTCTCTTCTACTCGCAATAGGATCTAGATCTGCATCCATTGCAAGGTGAACGCCGGGAATGTACCTCAAGTAATTTATGTCAGGGGTCAGTGCGTCGACAGTTGGTAGTATCTCAAGCGTAGGTGCAGAATCAAGCCGAGGGTAGATCTTTTGGATTTTTGTACAGGGTTTTATACATATATGTCCCATTTGGTGCCTTTATGCCATTGATGGTAAATTTTTGGTCAGACACTGCCCGCATGCGGTGTTTGCAGAGGCTAGCGGTACTGCTTAAATGACTAGTTCTATATGGCTGCCAATATGGCGATGCTATATAATGCATTTTCCTCGGTTGCATTTTGCGTTGTGTAAATGGAAAAATATGTACTCGGAAATGCCTATATGCTATCTTTATAATCCTGTCTGGTTCACCAAAATATACAAAATACACATCTGAACTGAGTTGTTGTATGGCTCAAGAAACATAGAGCGCCGCTGCGCTGTTGCCTTGAAGCAACAGCGAGTCCCTGTTGTGAGGTCTTAAGAGGACTTCATGCTCGGATCCGGCGGGCATGACGGGTTGAATGCTGCCCGGATTAAGCGGAAAAAGGGTTTTGTAGTACCCTTCCATAATTGCAGTAAAATTGCAAGTTTCTGCGACCTCCGGAATCTGCAGAAAAACACCGAACTCTCATCAGTGCTCGATAAAACAAAACCAGTAACTTCGTCGGAGTGAAGGTTCAGAAGGCAGCGGTACCTGATAAATCTCACGCGTGTAAGCATGAAGGTTGGGATACTCGATGAGCTTATTCTTGGTGCATTTGAACAACACGTTGTAGACGAGATCGAACCGGATTAACGTGGTGAACAAGCAAACGTCTGCAAGTGTGAGTTCGCCTCCGCACAAGTATCTCGAACTGCTTAAATGATCCTCGATCGTGTCCAGTGTATCGAACAACTCGTTCACCGCCGTGTCGTATGCTTGTTGAGACTGAGCAAACCCACATCTGCGAAAATCGGCACAAACTGTAAGAGCAAAAACGGATGCAAACGCAAATAGAACCGGTTTCAAACTTTCAATAAAAAATAGAACTTAACGACACTAAACAATTGATAATCGGTTCAATTCGTGCATATTTCCCTACTCAAAAGTGAATTAAATGCAGACGTGAGTTAAGTCAGTCGTTTTTTTCTTCCACCAAATTCGAATCACCATATACGATCACAGTAGTTTAGAAGAGTAGTTTATAGTCGAAACAACAAAGAATTAGAGGATTAATTAGTAACTAATTACCTATAAACTCCGTTGTTGACGTTGGGGTAGATTATGCTATTCCACTTCTCAATTTTCTGCTTCAATGGAGCTGGCGAAAGATCCAAACCCGGATTACGAGCCAACTCATTGAGTCCCGAGTTGAACAATTGGATTATATCATAGCTCTCGTTGCAGACCACTTCTTTCCTCTTCGAGTCCCAAAGCATCGGCACGGTGGACCTTCCGTCATACCCTCCCGCCCTGGATTTATACACCTCCTTCAGAGTTTTGCATCCGTTTGCTTTATCCGGGCCGGGGGCAATGGGATTCGGGTCGGAAATAGCGGAGTTGCTGAATTGCCAAGAGCCGTCGAGACCCGGGGCGGCGATCGAGACCGGAACGGCGTCGTCGAGGCCCTTGAGTGCCCGGACAATGAGGGTGCGGTGGGCCCAGGGGCAGGGGAGGCCCACGTAGAGGTGGAGGGAGGTTTGGGACTGGCGGGGGATTTGGTTGGGTAAGGCGCGGAATTTGGAGGGTGGTCTGGTGTAGCCGAGGGTGGGGTCGGAGGGGGCAAGCTGGGACATCATGATGCGCCACGTGGAGTGCCAGGCGGTTCGGACGGCGGAGATGAGGAGGCCGGGCGGGAGGGACGGGCCCCACAGGAGCTTGGTGACGGAGGAGAGGAGGGAAGTCGGGTCCGGCGGTTGGCTGTTGCTGGACATTTTAGCGCTGACGTGGCAGATGCTGGGTTTGTGTTTGGTCCGTCTGGAGGTGCTGGGTTTGTGGAGTGGCGGAGTTGGGAGGTGGGGGGAGATGAGCAGGGACATCTTCGAACTGCTGGGTTTCCAGTTCTGATCGAGGAGGATAAGTACCCTCTATACGACACGTCGTTTGTAATCAGCGTCATTGTCCGCGCTCGAACTGGGTAAAACGGCGTCGTGCGGTCCATATGGAGAAAAATTGACATTTAGAGGGCGGGAAAATCACAAACCCAAACAGCCAGACGCCGCCGCTCCACCTCTTTGATGAAATTGACAATCGTATCCTCCAATTCGTATTTCCATTGAACATTTACATTGGAAGAGCTTGGGTAGTTGAGTCTTTTGGGCTTCAGAGGCGGAAGGAAGAAGACTATGGGTTGGAGGCACCCACAAATCTCCATGGAAGAAGTCGTGAATCTGATCAAAGGGTTCGTAGATATACTGATTCTGCTTTCTGGGTACCAATCGTCTGGTCAAATTGCCCACTGGGACTCTCACAACGTCAAGAAAGCATTCCAATGGGGCCTCTTCTTTGAGCAGGTCAAATTTTCACTACTTTTTCGCAATTTATTTCGTTTAAGTAACAAGGGTATCTCTGAATTCCATTGTTCTTTCATTTGGGAACCGAAAGATGAGATCTTGTTTCGGTGTTATTATCAGGTTTTCGGAAGTTTTAGCTCAGATGATTATGCGAATTCTGTGGAGGAACTTGATGCAGCTCTATCTGAAATGACATCAGCTGCTTCTTTCCCTAAGGTTTAGTTTTGTAAATTTGTGAAGATTTTTGTTTTGACACCTTGAATGTTTTAAGTGAACTTGTTTGTTAAGTCATAGTTATTTGTGATAAACCAGGGTCTTGCTCATCTGTCGTCTGCTAATCTTGCTAAGGCACGGCGCTTTGTATTAGAACATCTCATTCATACATTGCCTTTGAGGGATGTACATCTAAGAGCTTTGCTGACGGCAACTGTGGAGATGGATCTCGAGGAGCTATCGGAAACTGAGCATGACTTTCTGAATGCGTACTTCAACAAGTTGAAATTGCAGAACACATCGCTTGATCAAAGAATTGCACCAGCTACAACGACTGAAAATTGTGGCATTGATGGTTTCACAAGGTATGTGGTCCAAGAGATCTTGAGGAGGTGGTCTACTGTGTCTTTCATAACATCGGTTGAAGCAGGCTTAGATGTTCTTTCTCAAAGTGTCAGACATAGCAGTTGGAGCGAGTTTGATGATAACTTGCTTAAGGGACAACTAAAGCATGAAAATGCTCCAGAGTAAGTGGGATATGTGTGTACAAACTTGTATTTTGGGGAAGAGTTAGTAATGTGTGTGAGTGAAGTGAATTGTTCCCTATGCGTACCGCATGGTGCGAGGAGTTATAGTAGAGTCGTTTACTATATGTGTCTGGTTTAAGGAGTAAGTGGCTAGTTTCTTGGTAAAGGTAGTATGTCTGCCATAAATTCGTTTTCTAAGATGCAATTAGTTGAGTTACGCGTTTTTTCTTTTATATTTCTAGAAAAGTTTGCATGCAAAATCAAAATATTACTGTTGGATTCTCGATGCTGGGGCCTGAACTGAATATCTTGTGGCTCCTTATTCAGGATTGTAGAGTGGTTGCTTGGTTCTATGACATGGAACCGATGGAAATCAAAGAATCTCTCTTATTTTCTTGATAAGAGAACTATTCGGTTGGTGTCAGGTGCCAGTATGATATTTGCAGCCCCGAAGATTCAGTGGGTACAGATTTTTGAAAGGTTAAATTTGAATATTTCAGCAGGAAGCAGTGATGACGGTCTGTGCGAGACAATTGTAAGTTCAGTTCAAGAAAGAAATTACCAACTTAGACTGAATTCTTATTTTTACTTTTATAAATCCCTTGAACGATTGATTCTCTCCGACAATAAATATTCCTTATTTTCAAGGTTGCCTGGTTATGTGCCCTAAGCTTGTATACAATTAACATCTCCCCTGCATGTGCACAGATGGCATACCATGCAGTTCTTTCATAAGAGAGTTTTTGGTGCCTAATAATATAGTCAATTTCTATCTTAGGAATAAACTGTACTCTTGTTTCTTATCCTAGAAATTTTTGCCCCTTGCACATCCTACAAGACAATGTCAAACTATGAAACTGGATATGTTAACTGACTTTACTCACAATAATAACTGAATGCTTTTCCTCTCTTGAATCAGGAGCTCTTGTTACTAGGGTGTATTACAAGCAGATGGACTTCTCTAATTGAACATTTGATGTCAATTTCTCATGACTACAAAAATATTTTAGAGCAATATAATGAAGTAAGCAACTTACTTCATGGAAGATCTACAGATCTTAAATCTAAACAGGAAGCAACATGTACAAAGGTACAATATTAAATACTTACAAGTATACGTATGTGTGCGTGTGTGTGGTGTACACTTGTACACGTAAAATTTGCTATGCATGCCATTATTAATTACTTTCTTTTCGTGTCCTTTTTGCCCGCGTGCCTGAGTGTCTGCTACTCTGCAGCTTTGGGATTTCTCTGTTCTTCATTGCTGGTTCATGTTTTGTCTTCCTTGCATTTCTAATCATGGGTGTCTTATATGTGTGAAACTAGGGAAGTGACATTCTCGAGTATTTGAGTGGATTTCTGGGAAATCAGATGCATCAGTTGTGGAAAGTATTCCCAGTTCTTGCAGCCGTTGCAATTCCTTCCTGGTATATTCTTATACATTCTCTGAAATGCTTGAATGTGCTGTGGACTTTGAATTAATTTTGGAATATGAACTGAACCGAGTCATATGTTTTGAATGGTTTTAATTTCCCCCCTTTACATTTGTTTAGTTTAAGCGCCTTTTTTATTTTCTATTGAAATAGTTTTAATAAGTACATATCCATTAATAAGAATGACTGATTGTGATATCTTATATGACATCGTAAACTAGTTTAGTTTTATGGAATTTTTATCACTTGTTTTCAAGTGTGTTTTGTAAATGAATTATGCAATACTTTTTACTGCAGGTCACCCTTGTTTAGACTTTACTTGAGCGAAATTCAGATTCAGTTTCAAGGAGATTTTTCAACAATGAGGTTTTTCTATTTTAACTCTTCTACTATAATATTTGCCCAGATGTATGATTGTCGCGAGACAATAATTCTGTTACAGTCAGAAATTCACACACACTTTGTTTTGCAGATGCTGCAACTGTGCTAATGACAAGAAGGAGCACAATGACTGTAAGTATATTAAATTAATTGAACAGTCGTCCCCTTCCCTTTTCTCTTAAAATAATGCTTAAAGGAAGTTCTAGAATTAACTCGTAACTTAATTCCAGGTGAACTTGCCGAGAGAATTTGGTGCCTTTACATTTTTCATGTCAATGGCTCTCACGTAGCCTGAAGTCGCCGATAACTGTTTAGAAATATTTGCTAGTCATCTGTAAGCATATTTATCCTCCATGCAAATCTGAATATTTTCTACTCCATTAATCATTTATTGCTCGTTATATGAAGTGTTAGACAGATTAATTTATGTAGGCTTAGATTTATGGAACTAACTATATAAGTTGAAATCTAATAAATCCTTTGAAGTTGGAACGAAAGAAAATTTGAAAGGAGTATTTTCTTTTTTGGTTTGGGGAACTTGTGACTATTCTAAATGCAGTAGTGTAACTGTGTAAGTGTTATATTTTGCTCAGATATATGCTTTGTATGTAAGCACAATTTTGCTTAATTATTTGTTTTAATCATCTTGGTATCGAAGATCTACACGACACAATTTTTGGTGACTTTGTGGGGCCTTTTGTGACCAACCATGTGATGAAAACACTATATGAAGTTCACAGAAAATGATTAATAAGTTTACTCTATTGTTCTTGTAGGTATGATATGGCCGGTGTGATACCTTGGGCACAAGAGTCGATCTCATTCCACTTATATGCTTCCAGGAACTTTCGCCGTCAAGCTTCCTTTGAATCAGAAGCAAAAAAACAACAGATAAGAAAAATCAACTTTTTTCAAAAAGTGCTTTTCTCCCTTTACTGACATTACATCACTTGAGGCAAGTCATCAATTCCTTCTCAAATCTGGGTCCTATAGGACCTGGAATAGTGTCAAAAAAAGTTTATTTGATTGTTGATTGTAACGTTTATCCACTCCGACCAATGAGAATGCGACATGTTGTTGATGATGCCTGCTAGTGGGAATTGTTACTTGAAAGCTTCATCTGTGGCTTTACCTGTTTCTAGTTACACCATCATTCTTGCTGCTTCCTTTTGCTTCCAGCCATCTCTCTATAAAATGGCACACGGTCAAGGTGGAGGAGGAATTAAAAATATGAAAGTTTCTAGCATCTCTGTCTGTTGGAAAATCCAGTGTTTGAAGCCATTGAAGAGAATCGCAAGCGCTGGGTCTGAGGTCAAGCTTGTTGGCAATCAAAGCAGTGCATCCTCAATGGGTTATTGCCGCAGTTCATATCTTTTGAGGCAGTTGTTTTGGAAGCTGAAATCACAATGGAAACAAGGTTTGGGATGGCAAAAGAGCTACAACCGGTACAGCTATGATCTTCAGAGCTACTCTCTCAACTTCGACAACGGGTTTGATGACCATCGCTCATAGTTTCCGTTACCGTCCACTCAACAGAGTAAATTTTACAGAAACCATTATAGTACATGGACACTTTTTTTCCTTTTAAGATGGATATATTTTCGATTTACTCGATTCTATATATTCATGCAACTTAGATTTACCATGAGAGTTGGCAAATAACAGCATGAACATTTTGTTTCATTTTCGATCTATTTTGCTTCTTTTCAGCGAGATGAATGTTGGAGAAATAATTTCCGCATACTTTAAATGTTGCGATTTCTTATCATTTAATGAGTGGAGCAAATATTATTATTCTTGCAATATTTCTACTTTTGATTGTTAAAAAGATAGTGAATTCCACAGATAAGGTTTGGGGTCCACTGTTCATTGCCATGTTCGTTTTGTATTCAATTCCAAGATCACTGCCATTAACAAACTCGACCTATTTTTGTTTCCATTTGGAAAGGAAAGTGACCTAAAATTGTGAGGATCGTTATGTGTTTATCCACATTTTGTTTTGCTTAACTTCTTTCTACCAAAACTTCATGTTTTAGCATCCGTTGATTTTTATAGATGTCGAGTAACTAAGGGTGAGACTTTAGCATCCGATCAGAATCTCAATTCGACTTGGGAAGAAATCTTATCCTATCACCGGGATAAATTACCTCAAACATAATAAGTGAAACACTCAGATAAAGATATATCACCGATTACACTCAAAATTTTTCCAAACTTAGAACAATGATAAGGTAGAAGAACCTTTAACTTGAGGAACTCGCATAATTATATAATACTTTTCCTTTGTGCCATTGGATGTTTTGTTTTCCACTTACCTTGTCCCAAATTTGTAATAATTCCTTGGAAATTCATGAACTATGATGAGCCTGCTCACAAAGCCCAAATGACGTTTAAATCGATGGCTAAGATTCATTGATCAATAACTATGCATGAAATGCTAATTAAGCTAAATTACTAGAATTTTATTTATTTTTCATTATGTAAATAATATTATGAGAGAGAAATTGAACTCAGGACTTTGAGTGTAGTGCAAAATAAACGATTACAAACTAGGAAACAAATTTATGAGTTGTGAAGCATAAATTAGCCTTTCTGTCCAGTTGCCCATTACATATATTCCTTAGTCCACAAATCAGTTTGCTAGCCATGAAACTTAATTGATCACACCATGTGATCTAGGAGCAAAAGGCCATGCCAATCCATGGCCCCACACCCCATGCCACCCCTAAATTATGTGCCCTAAATTCTTGAGACTATTTTTTGCTCACCACTCTCAAGTGACGGTGATGCTCACCACTTAAATTTTGAGATCTATGTAGTGGATAGATATAAATCTCAAAATTTAAACTCATCAAACAGTAATAAATAAAGTGATGAACATTATCATCACTAGTGGGCAATGAGAAAAAAAATGCACCCCTTAATTCTTTGCTTAACCCCTTCCCTATCTATCCTCACCCATTTTCTCTCCATCTCCACCTGCTTTCTTTCCACCACATCCAAATGGGAAACTCATAGGATTTCTAATTTTTCTCTCAGGCTCGGTGGTTGCAGCAACAGCATATTGGAACATTTTGAAAACCCAAAAAGCTGATAGCGTTGAATTGGGAGACGAGTTGAAGAAGTACTGTGAGAGTTGGAGGATCAATGTTTAAGTGAACAGCATTAGAGGGTTTGATGTTGCACCCCAAGAATGTGTTGGGTACATTAAGAAATACATGACGTCTTCTTAGTACAAGGCTGACTCACAGAGGCCCTGGAGGAGCTGTCACTCTCTACTTAGCAGCAGCTGCTGCACATTGGAGGGTGATGGCAAGGATGCTTGGATTTTTGATGTCGATGACACACTTTTCTCCACCATTCCTTACTGCAAGAAACACGGTTTCGGGTAAGTCACATTTGAAGAGCCGTTCGTGAGATTTGAACTCTGGGAACTCTTTTAACGAGGTGGAGACTGGATGTCACTGACGTACTTTTGCTTTCGGAAAATTCAAACTAGGGGAGAGAAGCTGAATGGGACTTGTTTGGAGGCATGGTTGAGAGAAGGCAAGGCACCAGCTCTTGAGCACACACTGAAGCTCTTCCATGAGATCAAAGATAGTGGATCAAGATCTTTTTAATCTCTTCAAGAGGGGCAAAATTGAAGCTCATCAAGTGTGGATAATCTCGTTGGATACCATGGATGGACTGGTCTCATATTAAGGCATATATGGAAATATCATCACGGTTTCAAATCCATATTTTTCATAGTTATTTTATTCTTAAAGGAAAAAGATGGATGAATCAATTAGCGTTTCTGTAAGAAGCACTTTTACTCATAAGCGTTTTTGTTACAAGTGCTTTTGTTATAAACATGTACAGGGTGTAAAGTGCTTCACGAAGAAGCACATAGCAAATGCTTAAGTAGAAATTAAATGCTTCAACGACCTAAAAGCACTCTTAGTTTTCTTCGCCAAACATTATTAAAAGCACTTTTAGGGCTTTCATAAGCAGTACCTTGCTTGATAAGAGAGATCTGGTTTCAATTTCATGCACTTGTGTGCAATGCAGGGGTCTTATTATTGTGTGTAATGCAGATGTAACCCTTGAACTCACTTGATAAGAGTTCAAGGAAGTGCAAACATACAAGTCTGAGGCAAGGCATAGACTGATCGATGAAGGTTACCGCATATTGGGCATCATTGGAGGCCAGTGGAGCAGTTTTGAGGGACTTCCCATGGTAAAAAGGACATTCAAATTACCCAATAACTCCATGTACTATGTATAGCATGAGAAATTTCAATGCATGCATTGCTGTGAAAATTCTACAATATACCGGCGTATGAATGCAATGGTGCAGTTGAGGACTGAATTTGTGTTCCTTAACCTAAACATTCCAATCTAGCTATTTAAAAATACGGTGCATCACATACACTGGTGTAATGTAGAAAGACTCATATTGTTGTTCCTTTTTCTTTGTGTATTTTTGAAGTGGCCAAACACATGATGCTCTAAGTTTCAGTACTTTCTAATCCTCTGCATAAAAGATCCGTGATTTCAGTGAATCCTGCCACCTTCTACAAGTTAATTTTTTCCGAGACATGTAGCTCGAGTGGTTGAGAACAATTTATCTCGCATCGAAGGTCTTCCACACAAATCTCTGCCCCTCAGTATCACTTGAATGAAAAATATATCCACGTTGTTCCCTAAAACAAAACAAGTTTTCCTTTGTGCTAATCATAGCATTAGGGTATAATTACTTGTTGGAATTGGATTCATGATAGCTTAATCGGGTACGTACACGTAATTGTATATTCACAGTCCTACTTCTTCAAGAAATTGTTTCCAAAACGGCAAAGAAAATGAAAAGCCCATGGATATTCATATTCTCATTACCAACTTAGGCATATATTTATTTTGAAGGTTTTTTATTGAAATCGATAGAAGTGATCTTGAATTTTTTCACCATCAATTATTTTGGTCATTGTGTGAAAAATCTTCGTTAAATAATGAACCAATTTAATAAACAATGAGCCAAAATGATATAACAAAAATTAAGGGTATTTTTGTTATTTTGGTTTTTATTTAACAAACATTTTCACTAAATCTCATAGACCAAATAAAGACTTATGCCAATTTCAAAGATCATTTGACTAAAAAATCTCTTTTCGTCGAATTTTAACTATAATTGTTATTAGAATCCGAGTCGTCCGATGCGTAGACTAATTGCTCATCACTTACAACTTTCATATGCTAAGACAATTACAAAACATAAGGGAGGTTTTGATTAAGACGTTATTAACATTGAAAATCTTCATATTAACAACAAAAACCCAATTTTATTATTGAAATGTACCATTTTATTTGGCTCAAGCAGTTTGACCCTTTAATTGCTGACTGTGTCCAGCATTCTAATTATCCTTATCCATCTGGTTTCTAACACGTTTACCAAAATTAAAAAATCTGGTTTCTTACCCGTTTCTACTCAAAATTTTAATGACCAGGTTTGGGTCCGAGGAGCAAGGACGCAATAGAAGGAATAAAGTATCTGATCGATGGCCACAAAATAAAAAAGTATGTAAGAAGTAAAACAGCATGTATGGATTTTATATTTCATAAATAATTCTCACTTGATGTGCCCTAATAGCCATAGGCACCTCTTATGAGAGTGGGATCTAGTGAGATTTAAGTATCTATGTTCTTGTAAAAGAAGTTTTATGAAATTGGACGTGGTTGGCCATTTTTATGTAAGTTTTTGGCGAGAAGCACCCTAAATACATAAGCACAATAATGTTAGATGGTGTTTTCGTCTTTATATTTGCCCCAATATTTTGTTTGGGTCTGTGTGTTTCAAATTTGATCAATTTGGTCTTTATATTTGGCTACTTTAATGTACTTCAATGTTTCAAAGAGCTACGTGTACACAATAACGTTTACACTAAACATGAATTCCAAACGATTAAAAGGTGAAAACACATGAATCAAACAAATCAACTAGCAAGGTCGAGTGAGTTGGTACCACACCCCTTCTCTATTGCACCCAAATTTAAATTCTATTGTCCCATAAATTATAATTGATTAAAAGGAAAACTAATGAAAAAATGTTTGAAAACTTTGAGATTTAACGAAAATGACAAAACAAATGGTAAAGTGAATAGTATCAGGATTGATTTTTAGTGTAAAAATGTGATTTTTCATTAAAGTAAACAGTAACAGAAGTTTTTCATTAAAATTCTCTTGATTAAAATTATTTTGTCAAATCGACCAGGTAAAAGACACAAAGAAATACGTAAATGTATTGTAGTCAAATCCGAGAACATACAAAACGCATGAAAAGTATATAAAACATAAAAGAGGTAAAAAAGGTAAAGAAAGTTGATTAGTTAAATGTCTCGTCTCCCTGGCCATATTTGGCCTTTGGGCTACTCCGAAGAACATTTTTAGCTTTTCAACCCTAAAACAATCATAATCATCATAACGCTGAAACACATGCCCCACGTGCACCTCGCCCAGATATTTTCACCGCCCGCCTATTGCAGTCCTCCCTCACGTGGGCCCGCACGTATGCCGGTGGAGGACGTGTTTAAACGCATCACTAAGGCTGCGTGGAAAAATCCTACTGTTCCTTAAAACGCAGAGAGCCCCCAAAACACCAAAGGAAAAAAGGAGGCACAAAAACCAAGCGCACTCGCGTGACTCGTCACCGTTCAGTTCCCTTCCCTGCCCCATCTCGTTCTTTCGCTCGCACCGCCGGTGACGGAATTTTAAACACCCGCCTGTTGTTCTAGACGTGTACTCCGTTGTCATCCTTCAAATTCCTGGTTTCGGTTCGATTCTGCGCGAATTGGGGCTTGCATTCGAGATTCAGGTGCGTATTCGATATACCCTTTTGATAATTTTGGGGCTTTTGGGTAGAATTCGGGGATTTTTTTGCTCTTTGTGATGCCCATTTGGCGTTTTGATATATTTTTTTTTCGAATTGGTATTGTTTGGAGGAAATTAATTTGGTTTTCGATGGATATTGTGGTTTGTTGTTGATCAATTTTGGTGCATGTGTTGGTTTGGATGTCTAGCAATTGTATTCCATGGTGGGGGTGTAATGTTGGAGCTGTTTTGTGACTGTAATGAATTGCATGCCTTGATGAAATTTGATTGCTTGAGCTTGTAATCAATTGCTTTGTGATTTAGTTTTCGGGGTTTTGCGTGGAGGGTACATGGTAGAATATAGGGATATAGTTGAAGAATGCTTCTAAAATGTGAAACATTAAGTGTGAAGTTTCTATTCGGTAATTGGTAACTTAAGGTTCTTCGTAGACTTTTGTTTGATTGACATAAGTTGGATTATTTTCCGGGGCGTTTCAGAGTGGGACAAATAAGGGCTTTAGTGCTGTCCAAATGTGGACTTTTTATTGTTTTATGTAGCATTAAAACCACCTAATCAACTGCCTCATTGAAAATGACTATTAGGAAAGCTTTTTGGATAAGTTCGTTCGGATAGTAGGGTTGTCCCACTCATAGTTTTAAGTGGCTCATTTAGTCAGGGCTTAGAATGGTATCCATTCAGGGCACTGCAATGTAATTCTACACTCATTCCTGTGGGTTCTTTTTGTGAAATCATTTTCATGTTTCGGGGAAAGATTTTATCATCTTCATCCTAACAGATGCTTGTTGGTTTTGATTGTATCTTGCATTTATTGTTATGTTTACAGGCGAAAATTGATGACCCCTTTCAGTGGTTTTGCTGTCAATGACAAGCAAAAGGTGTGCTGTCAGTAAGATTTAAGTTGGTAGGTATCATCACTATCACAAGCTAAGCTAATAGCTCATGACTAGATTACTGATGCTCCCACTTTTCTGATTTTAGGACTATAGATGGAGGCACGCCCTGCTGTGTCCATCCGGAGATCAGCTGCAAAGCAGCTTACTCATATGGGGGTCCCTTCAGCAGTGTCTTCATCCTTACCAGTCCTTCCAACTTCTTTGGAAGAGACACATCCCAAGTTGCCAGACTCCCAACAGGTTTCCATTGAAAGAGAACTGATGACAAGACCTGTTGTGCATGCTGGTCACTTAACCTCCAACAGTGGAGTAGTTGGTCACATATTTTCATCATCATCGGGATTTTCAACAGATCTTCACTACTCAACTCTTTCACCTCATGAAAAACAGCCAAAAAACTCTCCTTTCATTTCTCAGTCATCGAGTTCTGCAGCTTTGCCATTACCGCATTCTCCTCATTCAGGATTTCTTCAGTCAACAGAATCTTGTCCTTATCCCAAAGAAAACAGTGGTTCCTGGTGTACAGATCCACTGCCAGGTTTCCTTGATTTTCCTGTAAATAACCATATCGAGAATAGTCAAATAGAGAGCAGTAGTTGTAGTGGCATAATGGCTGCTGATGAATTTGTTAAGAGACATGATTGGCAGGAATGGGCAGATCAGCTAATTACTGATGACGATGCTTTAACTTCTAACTGGAATGAGCTTCTTGTTGACAACGTTACAGATCTGGAACAAAAGGTTGAGATATTCTCATAGGGTTGGTCCATGATATACATTTGCTAGTTTGATGAAATTTATCCGTCATTATTATCAAAATAGAAACGCCAATTTAGTTCTTATTATGTTGTTTCAGATGAAATACCAGGCTCCCAAACCGTCTTCAAATTTTTCGGTTCAGCAGTCCCAAGTTCATCAGCAACAACCCGCTTCATCTGGGGAAATCATTCCTGCTTCATCTAGGGAAATCATTTCTGTTACTGCTCCTTCTTCAGCTAATAGTGCCACTGCCAAGGCACGCATGCGTTGGACGCCTGAACTTCATGAGGCCTTTGTGGAGGCTGTTAACCAACTTGGCGGTAGTGAAAGTGTGTAACTCGGAATTCCTCTGGCTTTACTGAATTCTTAGCCTAAGATACAAACTTCTAACTCAACTGAACTTTTACTTCTCACAGGAGCAACTCCTAAGGGTGTGCTAAAGCTCATGAAAGTTGAAGGCTTGACTATCTATCATGTGAAAAGTCACTTGCAGGTACACTACCTCCTTTAGCCGATAAATAGTTTCCAATAGAAACTCTGTGAGAGATAGAGAGAGAACTTTTTTTTGATCGGAGATCATTTTGAATTGCAGAAATATAGGACTGCTAGATACAGACCAGAGTCATCTGAAGGTATATAGCTAATGCTTCCATGTATATACATGCGTAACTGTATATGTTTATTATGTAGATATGTGTATGCAACTATGCATGCATAATTGCATAAATCTATAGAGAATATGTTGATTGTATTTTGCTCTATTTATGCTCTTATTATTATATAATGCATCAGCCTCTTTGGTATGATATTTTTGTGCGGGACTGGTGCATAAAACAAGACTTATACAAGCACCAAACTTTTTTATAAATAAACAGTCTGATGCGAAAATTTTGTTCTCTTGGAAAATTATATTTCTTGTCAACAAAATAATTTTCTGTTCTTTGGTTCTGGAGATAGTGTGGTTGAGAAAGTAATTGTGATCTTTACCAGTGTTACTCCTTTTCTTTTTATACTGTGTTTCTTGTTTTTGATGCTGTCAAATGAGAAATTATTTTGACTTCTTTTCATACCCAGCTGCCCAGAATTTGACTTGCACTTTTTGTTAGTCTATTCACCATATATAAGTTGATTTTCCAAGTCTCAGAACCTTTCCCCTAGCATCTCTAGAAGGCTATGCTTTGGTGAATATTTGAATTCTCATTATTCTTTTACGTTTTCATACTAGTGATCTCAGTATTTTTCTTAGTCTATTCACCAGTACCGTACAGGTTCCTCAACATGTCATCCTATGAGGTATTTTGGTGCTGAAATCCTTGTTTTAATCTCCTTGAGTGTCATGCTCTATCCTTGAGACTTTGAAGTTGGCATGGATTTGCTTACCTCATTTTTTAATACCTTACGTAGTTAGTTAATGTGATGTGTTAATAAACATTCTTTTGTAGGCGCCTCGGAGAAGAAATTGACTCCAATTGAAGAAATGACGTCTCTTGACTTGAAAACGTAAGTGAATTACTGATTAATTATTTAGACCTATTGGTCCGATGATTGTGAAGCAGCACTTTTCATGTGGTACTTGTTTTACATAATCATTGCAAGGTTGCAACATCCGATGATACACCTTGTGGTTATCTAGTTACTGCTAATAACATATGGCATTCCCATAGATAAAGTCTTTAGACTATACTTTGTGGATTTTGAATGAAAAGAATGCTGCTTGATGTGGATAGGAACTCTTTCTCGAAAATATAATAAAAGGACAGAAAGATGATAACTTTACTGGAATTCTGTTGACCCCAAAGTTTCAGGATGATCTGCATAGGTTTATAATTAGCTTCTTTTATTTCTTTTGGGTGAGATAAACAATGTGTAGTTTGAAATTGGATTCACCAATTATTAGATATGGTCCCTGCTGCTCTGATGGGCAGTTGGAACTCAAATGTGCTGCTGCAGCATCAATAGATTTGCCACTGATGCTCCACTGTATATTAGCTAGCCATTGTTGTTTAGAGATCTTAGTTTCACATAAACAGAATGTCTCCTTGTATTATACTGCAACTTTAGTGTTTATCGCCGGGGTTAACTTGAGAGTTCCGAGTTGAAGGTTATTGTCGTTTAAGTGCCTTCCTGTCCACTTTTTAACAAGATTCATAGGGTTAACCTTAGTGTTTATTTTCACTGTTTAACCTCGTGGTGGTGGGATGATTAATAAAATAAAAGACCTTAATTGCTAACTTTAGCATTTGGAAGATGTTGACTATTGTTTTTTTTTTCTTTCCCAATTGTTTATAGGACCTAGAATCTGTTTGTATTTTTGATAGGACCAAGGCACTGTTAACTTTAGCACTTGGAAGATACTGTTAACTCCTCAACTATTTAAATGCAATAAGCCTGGAGTGGGTCTAATAAATTGCCCAAGGTTCACAAATGATTACCTATCGACTTGTTTTCTACCATCTCATTTTGTATTGTGTTACCATGTTCTATTTTTGTGAAACTTTGTACTCATTTGATTTGGGTAACAGCGGTATCGAGATCACTGAAGCTCTGCGACTGCAGATGGAAGTTCAGAAGCGACTGCATGAACAGCTTGAGGTATGAATTTGTTCATTGGAAAAGGATTTTTCTTTCTAATTGAGTTATCCTCATAAATATATTCTGAAGGTTTTGTTTATCTTTACCACCTGCTACTGCTGAGAAAGTTTGTGACAAACATTTATAGCCCTGTTGCACTTTTATGGCATTGGTCAAATCTGGAACCTCAAATTTATGTGTTCTTAAACTGTGGTGTACATTTCCGGGTTCTATTCATCTGTTTTTACTTTTGTTGGTTTAATCCTCCTGGGTTTCTTTTTTGCCAATTTTATGTGGTACCACCCATAACTTTCTTCTTTGTGCAGATTCAAAGAAATCTGCAGTTACGAATAGAAGAACAAGGGAAGTATCTTCAAATGATGTTTGAGAAGCAATGCAAGTCAGGTATTGACACGCTTAACCCATCATCATCCAATTTGGATGACCCCTCCGCTCAGTCTTCAGATGCAATGCAAGTTTGTCCCGACAAAAGTGAACCGGAGTCTTCCAGGTTGGAGCAAGGCGAGACTCAAACTGATCCAGTTAAAGCCAAACCCACAACATCAGGTGGTTCACAGGAACCGGAAGGGAAGCAGAAAGCACCTGAAATGGAAACTGTTCCCCAGAATCCCGAGCCAGATGTTGGTGAGGCCACTTCCCAACCTCCAAAGCGTGCCAAAATCAAAGAATAGGTTATAAATCATCTGTTAAATCAGTATTAGACTGACAAATCTTTTCTGATTTATAGGTGGTCTAAAATTTTAAGATAGGCATGTTTGCCCTTTGAAAGATCTGTGATTTTAAGATGGGCACTGAATAAATATTGCGAATGCAGGGTTTTTTTTTTTTTTTTTTTTTTTTTTTTTTTTTTTTTTTTTTTTTTTTTCTTTTCCTTCTGTGCAATTGATAATTTATAGCTAATTATTAGCCAAGTTTGATCCAAATGCAACTTTAAAATTTTCTGTCAAAAACAATTTCTTATTCGGACGCAAGTGGCTCTTTACTGTGCAAAGGGGTTGAGCTCTTAGAGCAAGTTCACCCCTGAAAAAATGCGCCAACACTTAGCCTATTTAATTCACTCAGTGAACAGTAATAGATCCTACATACACTGGCACCTAGTTCATTTAAAATATTATTAAATTTTTTATAAAACAATAAAAAAAAAGTTTTAATTTCGGGTAGGATTTTTAACCAATTTTGTCATGACACGTGTTAAATAAACTTAAAAAAACACACTAAATAAAATTATATAAACTCACCAAATAAACTTAAAAAATACACTAAATAAAATTACATAAACTCATCAAATAAACTTAAAAAACACACTAAATAAACTAAGAACTTTATTGTTCCACCACAAGCTCCTTTTAATTATCTTGACCTTGTTGCAATCCCCACTGGTGCTCAATCAAGTCACCTTGACGGGTACAGTGCCAGTATGGCTCTTGCAATGAAGTATACCGCTCAGCGATCAATTGATTGTAACGCCCATCCAGTTCGAATGGCTCGTGTTGCACGAGATCTTCAGTGTCATTATGAGCACAATAGATAGGTGTTTTTGAGTTGTTCATTGTGTCCGGCTTGTATTCGTCGATGATATCATAATCATACTCATCTTCCACAATCATGTTATGGAGAATGATACACGTCATCATGGTGGATCGAAGTGCCTTGACATCAAACATTCTGGCAGTTGACCTGACAATCGCCCAACGAACTTGCAGGATACCAAAACAACGCTCCACATCCTTCCTACACCGCTTTTGACATTTTGCAAAGTGTTTTTCTTTTTCACTTTGTGGATGTGGGACTGTTTTGACAAACGTTGTCCACCTTGGGTAAATGCCGTTTGCAAGGTAATACGGCCCGTCGTATGTATGGCCATTGACTGAATATATGACTCTAAGTGCTTTTCCTTGCAGCACTTCGTGGAAGACTGGAGATTGGGCAATGACATTTAGGTCATTCTGAGCTCCTGGAACACCAAAAATTGCATGCCAAATTCATGTATCAAATGAAGTCATCGCTTCCAAAATGATACTTTTGGCTCCTTTTCTGTTGCCATACGCTCCTTGCCACGTACTTGGACAGTTTTTCCAAGTCCAGTGCATGCAGTCGATGCTTCCAATCATGTCAATGAAGTCTCGCATCTCACCCTTCCTTAACAGCCTTCACAGGTCCCTTTCCGTGGGGTTCCGAAGATACTCCTTGGTATAGAGGGCTTCGATTGCAGAGCAAAACTACATCAAGGATTCCAGAACAGTTGATTTTCCCATCCTTGTTATCTCATCCATCAAATCTGTGAGTGTGCTTGCGCATGCGGGCCCCTCCTCTGATTTCTTGTCGGCGAAGCGCGCCCAGTTGCTCGTGCTTCCCACATGCCTGGCGCAAAAAAAATATATTCAAACGGCATGTGACGTCACGCTGACGTTAGCATGACGTCACATAGGCGGGGCCTTGGCTCAGCACGTTCTGGGCTGGCCTATGGGACGGCTTGGGCTGGAGTGATTTGGCTGGGGGCTGGCCTGTTTTGGGTGTTGGGTGCCGGGCAATCCACTCCCGGGCAGTTGGAACTCAAATGTGCTGCTGCAGCATCAATAGATTTGCCACGGATGCTCTACTGTATATTAGCTAGCCATTGTTGTTTAGAGATCTTAGGTTCACATAAACAGAATGTCTACTTGTGTTATACTGCAACTTTAGTGTTTATCGCCGGAGTTAACTTGAGAGTTCCGAGTTGAAGGTTATTGTCATTTAAGTGCCTTCCTGTCCACTTTTTAACAAGATTCATAGGGTTAACTTTAGTGTTTATCTTCACTGTTTAACCTCGTGGTGGTGGGACGATTAATAAAATAAAAGACCTTAATTGCTAACTTTAGCATTTGGAAGATGTTGACTATTGTTTTTTTTTTCTTTCCCATTGTTTATAGGACCTAGAATCTGTTGTATTTTTGATAGGACCAAGGCACTGTTAACTTTAGCCTTGGAAGATACTGTTAACTCCTCAACTATTGAATGCAATAAGCCTGGAGTGGGTCTAATAAATTGCCCAGAGGTTCACAAATGATTACCTATCGACTTGTTTTCTACCATCTCATTTTGTATTGTGTTACAATGTTCTATTTTTGTGAAACTTTGTACTCATTTGATTTGGGTAACAGCGGTATCGAGATCACTGAAGCTCTGCGACTGCAGATGGAAGTTCAGAAGCGACTGCATGAACGGCTTGATGTATTAATTTGTTCATTGGAAAAGGATTTTTCTTTCTAATTAGCCAACTGGTTGAGTTATCCTCATAAATATATTCTGAAGGTTTTGTTTATCTTTAGCTGTTACTGCTGAGAAAGGTTGTGACAAACATTTATAGCCCTGTTGCACTTTTTTGGCATTGGTTAAATCTGGAACCTCAAATTTATGTGTTCTTAAACTGTGGTCTACATTTCCGGGTTCTATTCATCTGTTTTTACTTTTGTTGGTTTAATCCTCCTGGGTTTCTGTTTTGCCAATTTTATGTGGTACCACCCATAACTTTCCTCTTTGTGCAGATTCAAAGAAATCTGCAGTTACGAATAGAAGAACAAGGGAAGTATCTTCAAATGATGTTTGAGAAGCAATGCAAGTCAGGCATTGACACGCTGAACCCATCATCATCCAATTTGGACGACCCCTCTGCTCAGCCTTCAGATGCAACGCAAGTTTGTCTTGACAAAAGTGAACCGGAGTCTTCCAAGTTGGAGCAAGGCGAGACTCAAACTGATCCAGTTGAAGCCAACTCCACATCATCAGGTGGTTCACAGGAACCGGAAGGGAAGAAGAAGGCACCTGAAACGGAGACTGTTCCCCAGAATCCCGAGCCAGATGTTGTTGTAGCCAGTTCCCAACCTCCAAAGCGTGCCAAAATCAAAGAATAGGTCTCATCTGTTAAATCAGTATTAGACTACTAATCCTTCCTGATTTATAGGTGGTCTAAAATTTTAAGATTGGCTTGTTTGCCTTTTGAAAGATCTGTGATTTTAAGATGGGCACTGAATAATTATTGCGAATGCAGTTTTTTTCTGTGCAATTGATAATTTATAGCTAATTATTAGCCAAGTTTTGATCCAAATGCAACTTTTTAGATTTCCTGTTAATAAAGATTTCTTATTTGGACAAATTTCCTAGCCTCTAGAAAAGGGCTTTTTTTTTTTCGAAAATTCTCAATGAAATTGAAAACATTGTAGCGATGGTTACTCAACTAAAAATGCATGATCATTGGTCCTTCAACTCATCAAAACGTGTATCTATGATCTCTTTTTGTCAATTCTGTTAAAACTTTTGTCAAAATGTGTCCCGTGCAATGCACGTTACGTTGAATCAAGAGACAAATATGAAAAATTAAATGAGAAAATTGTAGAAATGGTTCCTCAACTTTAACCAAATTAGAGAAATAGTCTCTCAACTTTAACCCAAGTGGAGCAATGGTCCCTCTACTTCAATCCAATTGTAGCAATATGATTCTTCAAACATTACTTGTTTTGACATATTTTGATACAAGTTCTGATGAAATTGACGAAAAGGACCATAACTGCACGTTTTATGGAGTTAAGGGACCAATGACCATGAATTTTCAATTGAGAGACCATTACTTTAATTCTCTTGTAATAATTATTGTAGGTGCCCCATTTTTGAAGAAGAAAATCCCGCGACTTAACTGTTGTTGTACTCGACTGTTATTTCACTATAAGAAGGTGCTCTATGATATTTTAAGTGTTTTTTTTACTGTTAAAGAGTGCCACTATAGTTTGCATACAAACATAAAAACCTAGAGTAATATGATTGAGAAAACAATGTACACTGGCACTTCTAAAAGGCTAATATACATCTCAACCCTTCAGATTTGAGGTGATTTTTAAAATAAGCTATGAAGTTTTTTTTTTTTTCTTTTTTCATTTTATGCCATATGGTATTGAAATTGTGTCAATATATAGTTGGATTGGTCGTTTGATCTTCCACTAAATTGATGATATGATGAGCGTGAAATCCTTATATAAGAGTATGTAAGCCAACAATTTAAAGAAGGATTAGACATTCAAAGAACCTCATGATCCATTTGAAAATCACCTCAAATTTGGAGTGTAAATTGTAGTTAGTTCCATTCTAAACTATTTCGAACTTGAATCACGTCCATACGCTTATATTTAGTTAGAACATAGATAGCTTGATGAGTTTTATGGGTGCATGTATAATTTGTTGTTTATATATCAAATTTTTTTTTAGTTAAAGCATTTTCCAAACGAACAAAAAAGCAAAAACCAAACATTTTCTCCTAAAAAACACACTAGACTCAAACATACGACTTCACAACTCAATAGGTACTAGGTACACAACTCTCTCACACTTTCTCTTTACACCCCAACATTTCATTATAAGACCCCCTCCTTCCCTCCTCTCTCTCTCACCATCTCTGGCATCCCAAACACCTCCACTGTCATGGCCTCGAACACCATGACCACCGGCTTGTTCACCCATTCTCACACCCGAATTGTGCATGGCACTCAAGAGTTATGCATAATAGATAGTTTGTTATATCCTTTTTCTTTTACTGAAACTTCGTCCATGAGATTTGAACTCACTCTCGAGACTGCCAGTAAGAGCATATGGTCGGTCAATGGCAATGTATAGCTTAAGTAAAATGTTAATGACTTGCTAGGATTAGTATTAAGTAGTTAAGAAATCACTGTGGAAACTGGTATGCAGTACCCGGCTCCGAGAAGGCAGTCAGTGTCATCAAAGAAGTGTCTAGTGTAAGAGAATCGATAGAATTTCATATTTCAAAGATGTAACAAAATAGTATACGGTTTATATAATATCGGAAATTTTGTGATACAACTCCAAATCTGGTAAGAGGTGGTTAATTTGGGAATAATACCGATATGTGTGGCCATGGAGATCCTAAACGGCAATGGAGATATTGGTGAGTTTGTTTTTGCAGGAAAATGGAGATAATAAACGACAATGCATAGTATCACAACGATCAAGGCTTGAAAGATGATTTGCTGTAAGTTGCTTTTGTGCTTGATCTGTTTCCTTTTTTCTTCTCAACTGATGTAGCAGTGCCAATTTTATTCGAATCTGGACTTTTCGCAGTTTGGTCGAATCCCAGGAACCACTCTGGCGAAATGTACCTATCTCATCAAGCAAACTCATCCCTTACTGCTTAGTCATTGTCCTCCGGCTTGTATTTCTAGCCTTGTTCTTCCGATTTAGAAATCCTAACTCCGGCGTATAATGCTTATCTCTTGTGGCTCACATCTGTAATTTGTGAGATATGGTTTGCGTTTTCCTGGATGCTTGAACAGTTTGCCAAATGGAACCCAATCAACCGCGAAACCTAGTTAGACCGCCTGCCCATAAGGTTCGAGCACGAGGGTGAGCCTAACACATTGCCCCCAGTTGATGTCTATGTGACTACAGTGGACCCTGTCAAGGAGCCTCCAATCATTACAGCAAACACAGTTCTATCTATCTTAGCTGTTGACTACCCTGTTGACAAGATCTGCTGTTATGTCTTGGATGATGGTGCTTCAATGCTCCTTTTCGATGCACTGTCAGAGACCGCTGAGTTCGCAAGAAGATGGGTGCGATTTTGCAAAAAGCATAATATTGAGCCTAGGGCCCCGGAGTTCTATTTCTCCCAGAAGATTGATTACTTGAAAGACAAGGTACATCCAAACTTCGTAAAGGAGCGCAGCGCCATGACGGTCAGCTCAAAGATAATAGGATAAATTTGACATTAATTTATGTCTTCTTTAATTCTGATGCAAACACTTTGGAAACAATTAAATGAGGTCTTAAGAATATATATATTTTTTAATTTTGTGTGTGAAACTGCAGAGAGAGTATGAAGAATTCCAAGTGAGGATTGATGCATTGATCTCGAAGGCTTAGAAGCAACCGAAGAAGGTTGGGTGACGCAGGATGGAACCATACCATGGCCTGGGAACAACAGTCGTGATCATCCGGCAATGATCCAGGTTTAGCGTTAAAAATCGCATTTTAACTGGGTTTTAGGCTTTATTAGTTTCTAAAGATAAAGAGGGTAAGTCACTGTTTTCATGGTCTGCTGTGAACATTTTGCTTGATTTGCAGGTTTATATAGGAAGTGGTAGTGGTGCACAAGATGTAGACAGTGAGGAACTGCCTCGTCTTGTGTATGTCTCACGTGAGAAACGTCCTGGTTATCAACATCAAAAGAAAGCTGGTGCCATGAATGCTTTGGTGAGCTAATGTTGATTTAATTTGTGTACTAAGTTTAAGATAAATGTTGTATGGGATCAACAGGTTCGAATGTCTGCAGTGCTTACTTATGTACCTTGTTTGGATGGATATTTAATATTGGGCTTAGCGAGGATGAAGGCCCAAGAACACAAAAAGCAAAGAGAAGGATGGGCTCGGGCAAATCAATAGCCTAGGAAGAATTAAAAACCATTTTTGCAAGAATAGGTAGTAAGCCTATGATAGAAGAAGTGATGGGTGACAGAGGGCAGTTCATCCCAGCAAAATGTACATTTTAAGGGCATGGATAAGTAAATAAGTGGTGACTCACTATCCTCCAAGGGCCATCACAAGAAGGCAAAGCTTGGATAGTCGGGCTAAGAGGTTTATAAAAGCAGCAAGGGACACCAAAGACAAGGAAACTCAACCAATCAATCAAAAGACATCTCACTTTGCGCTCATACAAGCAAGAATCCAGAAAGCCTTAATTTGTCCATATTCTGTTATTTTAGTCGTAGATTCACCATAGAAAGCCATCTTTTGTCAAGTTTTAGAAGCTCTGCTACTTTTTTAGTATTGTAGTATCAAATCCCTTTAAGCGAACCTGCTTTACTTTTCATTCTCCAAAGATTACAACCCTTGTAAAACAAAGAGAAATGGCTGCAAGAAGTTGAACCTTACCCGACAAGGTTATAATCTTGCCCGAGTCTCTTTTGTTTGTGCTTATATAAAGTAGATTTGTTGTTTAATGTATCTTCATTTGAATTTTAAACCATTTTCAACTAGCTTTCGCTCAAGGTTATGGTTAATATGGCTAAGATAACCAACCATGCTTCTTA